ATATAAACAAAGCACAGCTATTTAACTAATCAACCAGTGAGAGGTCTCAATATAAACAAAGCACAGCTATTTAACTAATCAACCAGTGAGAGGTCTCAATATAAACAAAGCACAGCTATTTAACTAATCAACCAGTGAGAGGTCTCAATATAAACAAAGCACAGCTATTTAACTAATCAACCAGTGAGAGGTCTCAATATAAACAAAGCACAGCTATTCTAAGTAATCTACCAGTAAAGCCTTTAGTTGATTGTTGTTTTTTACTAAGAGTGAACAGAATGCACGGACAATTTTTTAAAATGAGAATTCAATGTAAATAATAAATTTCTAAATTGCCTCACAAGCAATATTGCTTGCCACAAGAGGTGGGAGCATCACCTTGCTCTAGGGTTCTTTACTTCGGTTCTTAACCAGAGGTGCAGGCACCACCAGGGGTTACTGGAAAAATCAGGTTTATTTGCATTTGTATTGGCAGTTTTTATTGTGGGGTACATGAAATTTGTTTTGAAATCGAGATGGGGTGCTGGAAATGTTTTGAAATCAAGAGGTTGTGTGGTGCTGCTAAAAGGTTAAGATGCCCCGTTCTAAGGATTCCCAAGTTATTAGTAAACATAATCAGTTGGATTGGACTGACTATCCAACCAAAGTGGCAATTGTTGAGGAGGAGATAAACCTTAATTTAAAAAGCCCCAGGCACCGAAGGGAGAAGATAAAAGGCACCTTGGCCTGGCATTTAAAGTTGACCATCAATGTACAAAAAAAAGCTGCCTGAATAAATCCGGAACATTAAAATATATAATGATTTTCTAAGACATAACATACTATTTAGCATTGTTGAGCATACTATTTAGCATTGTTGAGCATACTATTTAGCATTGTTGAGCATAATATTTAGCATTGTTGAGCATACTATTTAGCATTGTTGAGGGATCAACTCAGTGGCAGAGATGTCAATATGTAAGTACGAGTCAGGGCAATAACATACTATTTAGTATTGTTGAGGGATCAACTCAGTGACAGAGATATCAATATGTAAGTACAAGTCAGTGCAATAACATACTCTTTAGCATTGTTGAGGGATCCACTCAGTGGCAGAGATGTCAATATGTAAGTACAAGTCAGTGCAATATCATACTCTTTAGCATTGTTGAGGGATGAACTCAGTGGTAGAGATGTCAATATGTAAGTACAAGTCAGTGCAATAACATACTCTTTAGCATTGTTGAGGGATGAACTCAGTGGTAGAGATGTCAATATGTAAGTACAAGTCAGTGCAATATCATACTCTTTAGCATTGTTGAGGGATGAACTCAGTGGTAGAGATGTCAATATGTAAGTACAAGTCAGTGCAATATTATACTCTTTAGCATTGTTGAGGGATCCACTCAGTGGCAGAGATGTCAATATGTAAGTACAAGTCAGTGCAATAACATACTCTTTAGCATTGTTGAGGGATGAACTCAGTGGTAGAGATGTCAATATGTAAGTACAAGTCAGTGCAATAACATACTCTTTAGCATTGTTGAGGGATGAACTCAGTGGTAGAGATGTCAATATGTAAGTACAAGTCAGTGCAATATCATACTCTTTAGCATTGTTGAGGGATGAACTCAGTGGTAGAGATGTCAATATGTAAGTACAAGTCAGTGCAATATCATACTCTTTAGCATTGTTGAGGGATGAACTCAGTGGTAGAGATGTCAATATATTTTTGTTGTGTGTGGGTTTTTTTTTTTTTTTTTTTTGGGGGGGGGGGTACTTATTTCTATAACATGAATAATCATATTCATTTAAGTTTTAGCCCGGTACATAATGCGTAAATGTGATTTATTGACAATTTATTTCGTTTTTAAGTAAGTATTGGCATTTTTACAGTGACTTCATTTTTATGATTAGGAAAGACAAAAATGGACACAACACAACTCCAAAGTTATATTGACTTCATTGGAGAGTTTCAGGCATCAATTATATTTACTTTACAAATCCATGATTATAAAATAACAGACATAGCTTCCTGCTATACTCATCGCCCCATTCTCAATCTTGCAAAAATTCAATTCATTTTTCTTAATGGCTTAGACTAAGAAGACTTTGCAGCAATGATGATGATTTGGGGGAAATGAAGGAGAAAATGTTGGATTTTTTCGGACGTAAATAATATCCTGAGCCATTTTAAAAGCAGCTGTCACTTGAATTAAAGGTATGAATCGACACGATTCGTTTGAATAACTCCTATACACAGCGGGGATGGGTCTAAGCTTATCTTAACTTTTCATTCATCCCCACAACCGTATGTTTCATTATCTAGTTATCAAAAAAAAAAAACGGCCAATGCTTATGGCAAACCTGTCACCAATGGGAATTTTTAAAAAAACCTTCTCATTTCGCTTCCAGAGAGACAAAAGAGGGACAAGAACCCTAGGGACATGAGGCTTAAGGACATGCTTGTTAGAAGCCAGCTGCCTGTAAAGTACATATGGACACCAAATGTTGTAACGGTAGCCAGTGTAACACATGTCTCTACGTGATTGAATTTAATGAGATCAGTTTCCCTCTGGAAATATTCGCAATCAAAAATGGTTTTACTCGCACAAATCGCAATGCTATTTACACCATCCTTTGTAAAAGTGAGGAAAATCATACAATGGGGAGACAGTTTTAGAGAACACCTGTACAACATCAATAAACAAGCCATTTGTCCCGTTTCGAAACATTTCAACAGTGCTAACTATAATGGATTATTAGACATTGCCCATTACTGGTATATTGAATGCAAGTATTACACCTGATAGAATTATATGGAAAATAAATTAATAAAATGATTCGGTAGTAAGTCAGTGTTTTTTTTTCCTTAGACGTTAAATTGTACTTCCACCCATTTTCTTTCCGTTTCTCTGACCTTTGTTTTCGTTATGGACTTGTGCCCATTCTTATTATATTGTTTTTTTTAAGATTTAGGTAAATGTAATTTATACATTTATTTATGTTTCTTGATTTTCTGATGAAGGCATTTGCCGAAACGTTTAAATTCGTCGGAAAAACTAATCGTCTAACTAATCAACCAGTGAGAGGTCTCAATATAAACAATACACAGCTATTTAACTAATCAACCAGTGAGAGGTCTCAATATAAACAATACACAGCTATTTAACTAATCAACCAGTGAGAGGTCTCAATATAAACAAAGCACAGCTATTTAACTAATCAACCAGTGAGAGGTCTCAATATAAACAAAGCACAGATATTTAACTAATCAACCAGTGAGAGGTCTCAATATAAACAAAGCACATCTATTTAACTAATCAACCAGTGAGAGGTCTCAATATAAACAAAGCACAGCTATTTAACTAATCAACCAGTGAGAGGTCTCAATATAAACAAAGCACAGCTTTTAACTAATCAACCAGTGAGAGGTCTCGATATAAACAAAGCACAGCTATTTAACTAATCAACCAGTGAGAGGTCTCAATATAAACAAAGCACAGCTATTTAACTAATCAACCAGTGAGAGGTCTCAATATAAACAAAGCACAGCTATTTAACTAATCAACCAGTGAGAGGTC